AACATTCCATTTTATATAAATTTGACACCAAAACCATCAAGAATCAACTATCTAACTTAAAAGATTGTAAGGAATCATCAATTATTATACCCTTAAAAGATTAAAGATCCCATATTAGTTATATTCTAACTTCTTTGTTGTCTTCCCCTAAAATCTATACGTCAAAACTTTTGGATGTTGCGGAAATTTTGAAAATGTTGGACCGTCTTTGGTTTGTTGAATCGGGCGTTCGATATCTATCTTGACTATTCATGCTTGGAGGCGGTCTTGACTTTAAATTCGTGCATTTGATGCTGAGAGGCTTTTTGTCGCGAAGATGCTTATGTTGGATATGTAATTAACAATCTTACTTTTCGTTGGAACAATTTGTATTTCTTCCATCCGAAAAATCATAATTGGGCTTTAATATATGATATTAGTCTTTACGATTTTAGCAGTTTTTTTACATTCACGGGATTTAAAATTTTTTTATAATAAAAAACATGAACTTTTTTCTGGAACTGTGCAATTAACATCGGTTTAGTGGCGGACTTATCTGCCGGTAATTTTATTTATTTTAGAAAAATTAATAAAGAGATGGACTTATCTGTCTGTAATTTTATTTATTTTAAAAAAATTAATGTAAATAATTAATCCAATAATTAACTAAGTGGAAAATTAATATATAAAAATATTGGAAAAAAAAATTAGTGGCAGATTTCTGACGGATGGAATCCGTCAATGATGGTCAATTTGTTGAAAATTCTGCCTGAAAATGTGTATATCAGGGACGGTTTTCTGGCCGGAAAATCCGCCAGAACTCACGTTTCCAACGGATTTGTCCGCCCGAAAAAAGCCAATGAATAGTAGCGTTATTAGGACTTTGTATCTAAGACATGATAACTTGTAACTTTAACTTTCTAATATTTATATTAATAAGTTGTTTCTAATGCTTAATAAGTTGTTTCTAATGATGTTATTTTATGGTTTATATGTGATAATTTTTAAATTTGCTTATATAGATATAAAGTGTATAAGAATTAGAGTGTATAGAATATTTAAATGTTAGTACAAGAATTCTCATTTATCAAATATTATCCTTCATTAATTGTCTAATTCAATATTAGTCCCTACATGGATTTTTCTTAACATTTCTAGTCGTAAGACTAATTTATTTTCTGCATAATTGACCCTTTACAAAAAACTTTGACTTACATTATTAGTCCAAAATACAACTACTTTTAAGTAAGGGTACAAGTAGATAAAGCATCCAATTGTCATGTATATAAATACGCCAAGATTAATCGGTAACAAAGTCTAGGCTGTTATATCTCCTCTTGTCTTGAAAATGACAAAGAGGGGGAGAAAGACAAAGAGGATGAGAAAGTTGTTGTTGTGGAGACTGCCAGTGATGTTACCGCTGAAGATATCCCTCATGCAGATGCCTTAATCCATGTCGCTGAGGATGCCATCACCGCTAACGTTGACGCTGAAGACGATGACAATACCATGATAGCTCCTGCTACTCATTAAGATCATCCCTCCACCTTTGCATTGCCAAATGCTGGTGATGAGGACGATGATGAAGACGATGACAATACCATGACAAGATTTAAAATTTTAAATAATAAAAAACATGAACTTTTTTTTAGAACTGTGCAATTAGCAGCAGTTTAGTGGCGGACTTATCTGCCGGTAATTTTTTTATTTATTTTAGAAAAATTAACAAAAAAGTGGACTTATCTATCTGTAATTTTATTTATTTTAAAAAAATTAATATAAATAATCAATCCAATAATTAACTAAGTGGAAAATTAATATTTAAAAAGACTGGAAAAAAAATTAATGGTGGATTTCTGACGGATGGAATCCGTCAATGATGGTCAATCCGTTGAAAATTCTGTCTGAAAATGTGTTTATCCGTGACGGTTTTCTGGCCGGAAAATCCGCCAGAACACACGTTTTCCGAAGGATTTGTCCATCGGAAAAGAGCCAATGAATAGTAGTGTTATTAGGAATTTGTATCTAAGCTATAATAACTTGTAACCTTAACTTTATGTATTTATATTAATAATTTATATCTAATGCTTAATAAGTTGTTAATGGTTTTAATTTATGGGTTATATGTAGTAAATTTTTAAATTTTGCTTTTATAGAAATTTATCTAAAGTGTATAAGAATTAGAGTTTTAAATGTTGTATTGAGAAAAAAAAATGCTTATATTAGCGATATATTTTTATAATTATTATAATATAATGAAAGGGTTGGATTCACGTGAGACCAATTTATGTTCATTGATCAACTTTATAAGCTAATGATCTAATGGTCTAAAGTTGTACGGTGACAATTTTGTAATTATTGAGAAGTCTCATGACAATTTTGTGATTATGAATGTTGAAATTGTAGATTTAATCCAAGGGTTGAGAATTGGTCTTACGGGTCGCACGAAAAAGCTTTGGTCTCATATGATCCCAAGTCTATAATGAAATCTATATGTATTATAAAATATTTGAGTTTTTTATTCTTTAAGTTTTCTATTAAAACATGTATAAATTAACTAGAAGGGTACTTGTACAATGTAGCGAGATAAATCCTCATTTTAATGTTTAGTTTTTATTTTTTTGTCTCTATCAATATAGTACGATTTTATGTTATTTTGAGAAAACGATAATGTTTTTATTTTTTTAATGAAATATAAATTTAAAAATAGCATAAAATTTTGAAAAAAAATAAATCGATATTAGTATCAAATTAAGTATTTAATAATTCTCGTTTTTTTTTAACTTCTTTAATTCAATTTTTTATTTTAATTTAGATTTAATAATAAAGTATTTTATTTTTGGTTTAAAAATATATATTTTTATAAAGATAATAAATAAGCATTATGTATTAACTCAATGATTATCTTAATTATATTTTAGATTTTTTAAATTTAAAATGGATGTTTATCCTGTATTTGATTATGTTTATCTGCAGTTAGTTACATAAATTTAGAAATGAAGTTTTAATAAGTTAACTTACGCAAAGTTACTTGTAATCTTGAATTTAAGTAATATGCATCAATAAGCAGTACTTCATGCCTAAAAAATGATTTTTTTAAAAGTTTTTGTGAAATAATTTATAATATATTATAGATGATATATACATTACAGTAGAAGCAGAAGTGATGTGAAGATAAAATCTCAACTATATTGACCAATTACAAAAACAATACACAGAAGGGCCGGCCGCCACTCAACTGGAAATCTTTTAATTTAGTAAAATTTCTATTTTTGACCGTTTAATAAACAATAAGGTCTCGTTTGGTTTGAAGGATGGAATGGATTTGGGGGAATTATTCCAAATCTCATGTTTGGTTTGTTGGATTATCCGGATATGAAATCCTAGGATTCAGCTGAAATCCTTCAAACATAGGATTTTGAAATCCTTAGAGAGTGATCGGGATTTGGTAGGATTGTATGCAATAAGGTTTTAAAAAATGTTAAAAACATTTGTTTTATAATAATCGAATAATAAAAATGTAATTCAATTATTTATGATTTTTTCTATAAATTATTTATAAATAATGAAATCCAATTCCATTCCAAATCCTACAAACCAAACATACCAATGATTTCAAATTCATTCCAATCCAAATCCAAATCCAAATCCAAATCCAAATCTCTCCATGAAATCAAAATCACTCAAAAACAATCATGCAAACTACATGAAACTTGATTTTAGAAAGAGGAATCGTGTTTTGAAAACTCATCCAATTTATCATATATACCTCATGTTTTAATATAAATTATCGCAAGTATAATTAAAATTCTTATAATATCGAGCGTTGTTCCAAATGAGATAAATCCAAAGCGATTTGAACCATAAAGGATATATCTACAACTTTTGTTTTAGACTCAAACATCTGATTTTGCCTCTTGGTATAAAAACCGTATTTCAAAACAAGTTGGTACAAGTTGTCCAATGGAGGGGCATAAGCCACTTCAGTTGTTTGTACATCGCGCCTAAAAGCTTGTATAGTATGTAACTCGTTCAATCTGATCATAAACCTTGTCTAACCTATTCATGATTGGTATAGGATCAATAACGAGTCATTAACATTTATGATTTTGTATGATAGTTATGTAATTTTGAAATCATTGTTATTGTATATAGGATCCCGAAATTGAAAATAATATATCGTTAACAAGATAAAGAGAATAAAATATTCGTTTTTTTATGATCTAAGTGAGAACACCATGATAGCATAGCCGCCTCCATGGAAGCAATCCCGACTATGGTGCCTCATTGGCCGGATGTTCTGAAAATGATAAACAAAAAAGGCCCCCACGGAGTGTGGCAATCACATAACGGTTCAATGTTCATCAAATCCATAATCGTGTGAAATCAAGTATTCCAAATGACATCAAACGAAAATCGTTATAATAAATAAGGTTCAGGATGAATGACTGATCATAAATCAAGAAAACATACCAAGTAAACCACACTTGGGATTGCCCATCACAATTTCAAATTGGCATCTACCTTCTAGGTATGGTGGTATACCATGAATCACGGATTAGATAACCATTTTAATAGGTTATCCATGATTTACAGAATTATAGAAATCCGTACCTGATAGATGAGATAACCGTACGATGAAATGCTAATATATTCATATTTGAGTATATCAATACCATAATATTTACTATATTATAACATATTTATATCCTCTTATAATTCTCAAACTCACTCGAATTCATAAAATAAAACATAGAAGGATAAAGAATAGAACGAATCGTGAATCAACATTTTACTTCAAAATCAAATGTATAATGTTACATTGCATTGCAGGAATACAATTCTAACTTTAAAAAATAAAAATAAAAAACGTATCCGAATCGATCCATCAAAATAATACGATACAATATACAACGCTATTATCGAAACAATGGATGTCATTTCGCTAGCTACAAAAACATTGCGATGGGTTTTATACAGACGATTTATTGTTTATTTTTTATTTTGCATTTGTAGAGAGATTTCAAAATCTTATGAGTGAGCCATTTCAACATAATCCTGGGATTTCAAATCCAGACAATCTTGCATACTAAACATGTCCTCAACACCTTCAAACCAAACGTACCCTAAAGAGAATCGAATAGTCAAAAAAATCCATAATGATGTTGTTGTTCCTCGTTAATACATTATTTTTATGTATCAAATTCATAACGCTTTATAATTTGGCGAAAATCCAAAAACAAACATACGTACCCAAGGGATACTGACGATATATCTGTTTTTACTCTCTAGAGATATACGAAATGAAAGAATCCATCTCGTTACGACTTATACCACCTTTCGCCGTTGCTCTCTTGACTTCGCGGCCCAATTCGGCCGCTCTACGCCGCATCTCCTCACCTTCCTTCGAACACATTAAGGTCCTTACGGCCTCTTCCACGACCACCGCCGTCACCAACTCCTTTCTACGCTCCCAATCCTTCATCGCCACACCAATTCTAAGAATATTTGTGATCAAAAATGCATTTCTAGGTTGATCCGAGTGCATTGGCCATGTCGTCATTGGCACCCCCATCGATATACTTTCCATGCTCGAATTCCATCCGCAATGACTCATAAACCCACCCGTTGCAAAATGTCTCAAAATGTCGAGTTGTGGGGCCCAACCCCGCTCGATGAATCCCCTCTCCTTCACTCTTCCTTCGAACCCGTTCGGCAACTCGATTATCCGGTCCGTTAACCCAGACACATCCCCTGTGTCTGCGGCTCGAACCACCCAAATAAACCTTTGTTTGCTTCTCTCTAACCCGATAGCCAGTTCCCTTATTTGGTCGTTGCTAAAGGTTGTTGTCGTCCCAAAAGATACATATATAACCGAATTATCAGGTTGATTGTCAAGCCATTGCAAGCATTTGTGACGATTTTCCAAAACCGTCGCATCAGATGCTAGCTGGACCAGATTAAACGGTCCTGGTGCCCATATCTTCGTTTTCCCGGAGATCTCCTCTCTCTCTAGATGTTCAATAAATTGGCCTTCGATCACTCTAGATGAATCGTATAACTCTCCGACGTGAAAATTCAAGTGGGATCGTTGAAGCATCACGAACTTCAAGAATTCGGGGCTGAGAATTCCATCTTGAGAAGGAAGCCGATTCAACGATTCTGGATCGATGGGAAAAGGTTCGCCGGTCTTCTCCCAGTGGCTGCAACATCTGTAGAAAGCTGACGGCGGATGGAAGACGTAAGTCTCGGCGTTTGGAATGAACTCCGCGTCTTGAACGACGTAAGACATGAGGATGTCATGTACGACGACGATTCTCTTAACTGTGTGTGAGAGAGAACGGAGGAGGGCGGCGACAGGGCGGCGGAGATGGAGGGTGGAGTCAATGGAGGGTTGGAGGTGGGTTGGAAACGGGATGGAAGGGTCTGGAAGAGGGGAAGTGAAGGGAGGGGTTGGGAATTCATGGAAGTGAATGTCGCCGGCGGAACGTAGGTTGGAAGTGCGGTGGCGGAGGTGATTGGTGGTGCAGACAAAGTGGAGTGGCAGGTGGTAGGCGGAGATGAGGTGGGAGAGGTGGAGGAGCTGGTTAAGGTGACCTTGTGCGACGAAAGGCACCATTACAACCACCACTTGATCCGACGGAAAGGTTGCAATCAGCTGGTGGTCGGCGGCCATCTCTTAGCTAGTCCCCGGAGGTTTCAGAGTGGGTATTAATATATTATGATACAAGGTTGTCCAGAATTGAATAATGTTAGTGGAGGATTGTATGAGAAAAAATATTTTTGTACTCTTGATCCTATGAATTTGCATTTGATATTCCGATGTCATCTTCATATTCATTTAACGGTGGAGATCTCTTTTTATGTTTTTCATCGTAATTCTCTTTTTCACCGAAACCCAATCTCATTAAAATAAATTACAAATTTGATCCCCATGATTTATAAAAACAATATTTTTTTTCTTAAAGCAATTTTAAAACCATAAGATGACTATTATGGTTTTTAAAAATGTCTTCAATATATAGTTTTTGATTGGATAGAGAACAATGATCCATAAATAAAACAAAAATATCCTTTGTTTAACAGAATTTTTTAATGAGAATTAGAAGAAAAGAAAAAAAAACTCAAATTCGAACGTTACAAAAACAGGTTATAATTTGAAAAGGAAAGTGTTGTTTTCTACAAAGGAGGTGAACTAAATTTGTAGTTTAAACCACAAGGATGGTGTCTGATTGATTTGAGTTTGGCTTCAAAGGTCAAAAATATTATGAGGTCTCATGTTCAAATTTAAGGAGAAATAAAAATTCATTTGTGGCCATGAAAATTCAAATGCGGTGACTCCGAGCTATCTGTAAAATAAGTAGTCGTCATAGAATTAGTCGACTCGCATAGTGGGTTGGATATCGAGGTTAATAAAAAAAATTATAGTTTAGTTTATTAGTTATGTGGTGGGGCTACGCATTAATAATTTTGATAAAATATACCTTTTTTTTATTTAGTGCAGGTAAAGTAAACTCATAAAATAGTTAGATTTGATTAAAAAAATTGGATTTAGATGCTTCTAGTCTAGTATGTGGTACGACTTTTCGTAATAATAAAAATCTAGTTTAGAGTAATTTACAAATTTAGTCCTTATGGGTCATATCAAAATTATGGATTTAATCCCTCAAATAAAATAATTACATTTAATTATTGTGGTTTCATTTTTATTATAGATTGAGTCTCTATCTCTATACAATGGAGCAGTTCAACACTTAGAAAAATTTTAAGTATTCATCCAAGCTTACATTGAAGACTTGAAGATAAAGATGAAATCACCTATTCAATAATGACAGCTGGTGATGACGAATCAACAGCTGGAATTATAGTTTATCTTGTAATATATGATTATCCATGTAATAGATAGACCTTATCTGTTAGCTAGACTATCTGCTAGAAAGTAGCAATAGATAGTTATCTTGACATTAGCTAAATAATATAAATAAACGACTAGGTCTATTATTTAGAAACACGCATAAACGCACGCACACATACATGCATATTGTTGATCGAATTGGTTGATTGTCTTACATAATCAAGTTAATGGTTAGGATTAATAGTGAGTTTGGGTGTCTGTGTAGGTCGGGTACAAAGGAGTAGACATGGGAAGTGATAAGTTTGGTGCAGTTTAAGGTATGAACCTTTTTCGTTCAGTTAGCTCGTTTAAATATGTTTATGAACTCGTGAGTTTCGTTTAGCTCATATTTATCCAAATTGTTTGTTACTGCATCTTCCATTCAATCGTATTTGTTCTACGTTATGTATATATATATATATATATATATATATATACTAGAAGAGTACTCGCGCAATGCAGCGAGACATATCTCGATTTTAATGTTCTATTTCATTATTTGTCTCTGTTGATTTTACAGTACGATTTTATGTGTTTTTAAGAAAGCAATAATGATTTTATTTTTGAATAAAATATCATAAAAATTTGAAAAAAAAATATATCAATGTTAATATCAAATCAACTATTTAAAAGTTCTCATTTTTTATGTAATTTCTTTAATTTATTTTTTAATTATAATTTAATTTAAGTTTAATAACGAAATAATTATTTTTGTTTAATAATATAACATTCTATAAAGATTATAATTAAATATTCTGTTAGGACTCAATAATTATCCTAATTATATTTTAGATTTTTTATATTTAAAATGAGATGCTTATCCTGTATTTGATTATGTTTATCTGCAGTTAGTTACACGAATTCAGATATAAAGTTTTAATAAGTTGTACTCACGCACAATCTACTTGCAACATTGAGTTTTAAGTAATACGCATTAATATACAGTATTTTACACTTAAAAAGTGGTTTGTAAGAGTTTTTTGTCAAATGCTTTATAATATAGTGTATATATAAATGTGTGTGTGCGTGTTTATGTATGTATATATACATATATACATATATAAAGAAGCGTTCAAATAAAAACCACTCAATTTGTACAAACCGTGAAAACCTCATTCAACCAATCATAATTTTTCATTTTGTTCATTTTTTTGTAATTATGAGAGGTTGATTAACCATTTTTATTGTAGAGAGTGTTAATCATGGATATTATTATCTTCATTATTTTAATTTTAGAGAAATACATGAAGCAGTTTCTTTAAAACTTTATTAAATATTATATGAAACAATTTCATAACCATATATGAAACAAATTCATCAAAAAAGTATTATATGAAACAATTTCACAAGATTAAACAATTTCATTAAAAAATTTCATAAGATTAAACAATGAAATCGACATATGAGGGTGGTTTGTACAAATGAGGGTGGTTTTCATTTGATCGCTCCTCTACACACACACATATATATATATATATATATATAGAGAGAGAGAGAGAGAGAGAAAGAGAGAGAGAGAGAGAGAGAAAGAGAGAGAGAGAGAGAGAGAGAGGAGCAGCGTTCAAATAAAAACCACTCAATTTGTAAAAACCGTGAAAATTTCATTCAACCAATCATAATTTTTCATTTTGTTCATTTTTTTGTAATTATGAGAGGTTGATTAAACATTTTTATTATGGATGATGTTAATCATGGATATTATCATATTCATTATTTAATTTTAGAGAAATAATGAAACAGTTTCATTAAAATTTCATTAAATATTATATGAAACAATTTCATAACCATATATGAAACAAATTCATCAAAACAAATATTACATGAAACAATTTCATGAAAAAATTTCATACGATTAAACAATGAAATCACCGTATGAGGGTGGTTTGTACGGTTTTTACAAATGGGAGTGATTTTCATTTGATCGCTCCTATATATATACATAGGGGGAGATCAAATGTTAACCAACAATTTTGTGTTAACTTTGAAAACCATGACAACCAATCAAATTCCATTATTCTTGTAGGTTTATGTCATGTTCACATTTTAATTACAAGGG